GGGGTGGACACACACAATCACATATTGTCATTGTGTTTTATCTTGCAGTTTTTAAAATTTGGATTTTTGGTGTTACTGGATTTTCTTTTTAAAACGTGCTTTTATATCTTTTAGAGAGCAGGCACAGATGGGCAGAAATATATTTCTAAGTATTGCTGGAGCATAGATGTGAGGATGGGCACTCTATCCTGCCAAACTATACAACTATAGCAAGAGCTATCCCTACATGCCTCTTGCTTCCAAAGGCACTCTCAATTTCTCCTCTTGTTTCAAGTGACATCTCATTATCGAGACATTTCACATCAGATTAAATCAACCAGCTGCACCATGCCTAAAAACATCGAGATCACAGCAAATAGTGGTTGCATTGCAATGCCAGGGAAGCAGCTTTGCAGGCAACCTGATGGCACCCAGCCTCAGTTGTTGCACTGCATGTAAAAATAATGCTTTGACAGGAATGAAAGAATGGCGGCAGTGCCAGGATGGCACTCTGTCCAGGTTTTTTTTAACCAGATGCCACTGAATTTACAAGATAACCACTGCTTGTGGATAAGAGGATGGATTGAAGGATAGATTTGCCTTATTTACCGTTGTGTCCAGAGATGTGTGTGTGTTGTTTGTAAAGTATGTGTATAGAGTAGGATTTTGTATTTCCTTGGTAACATGTGGATTTCTGTGTTATGAGTGGGGTTGCCCTTGATGAGTGCTTAGAAACTTTAACTGGAGACAAATGTGTCTGAATTAGCCAAAGCACACAGTAGAGAACATATCTCATCTGTCTTCTAGAGGGCCCCAGTAAATGCCTCTTAGTTTCTGGAATGAAATCTAGGTTAGCTTTTGATCCAAACAATTTGGACACAATTGGGGTACTAGGATTGATGCAACCCTGTGGTGCAGGAGGTAGAATGATGGCCTATGAACAGGGAGTCCCTTGTTCAAATCCCTCTTCAGATCACAAGGTGGTCTTGGCTCAGTCTCAACTGCTCTGCCTAATCTCCCGTACAGGACTATTGGGAGGATACAGGGGAGAGCGCAAAATTCCCGACTCAAAATACATCATCATGCAAATACGATAGCTGTCTTTGCTGCAAAAGAAGCGCAACATTTTTAAATAATAAGTATGAAGAACAGCTTTCTGAAATTCCACTGAGAAGATCCAAAGTTGAAATTTGAGTGGATTCAGACATTCCATCCAATGAAGGATGAGTTCATCAGAAGGACATACTCCTATCATTCTGCTTGAGTGTATTCAAAACTCAAATAATGGGTAGTATCCAACTCTGCCACGATACTAGCAGAATTAAATGCTGGTGATATGGCTTGCTGGTCCAACTGGTAACTAGTCCAGATATGCAGTTCTGGAATGAGGCATAAAAGTGAGCTTGGCTGACTTGTCTTATGTTGGTAATGCTAATTTGGCCTGGTTTCTGGGGTTGCAGTAGCATGTGCACTAGCTCCCCATTGTGCTAGTATTTTTGCTCACTAATGCAATATGTTGTGTAGTGGTAAACCGCCAGTGCTGGATACTGCCAAAAGAAATCAGCCAATACAGGACGGAAAATCTAGATAACCCAAGCTCATACACTGGAAAATATGTTTTAAAAGCATAATTCCATCCTTGGAAAGTTTCTTATCTTACAGAAGTCATTTTGTATTACCATGAGCTGTCCCAAGATAGACATTCCTACCAAACAAGTTTTCTGCACATTGGCAGGGTCTTGTAAGCATATAATCATAAAACATTATGAGTAACAGCTAATGTGATTTTCATTTCACACTGCAACCAAGCTACCACACAACAGTTACAATTATCATTTTAGGAAATGTTGTTGTATGAACCAACTTTGGATTTCCAGTTTTAAGTGAACTTTTCACCCATGTTCACATCAAGTTTTCTTTTCAAACATCAAAGAGACAAAGATCTTTGTAGTCTTATCAAAGCTCCCAAGTTTCCATATAGTACATGGATTTTTCAAAACCCCTGAGATGCTGACCCACACACAGAATTTCAAATGATAGACATTTTTCAGCTATGGAGAATACCTTTCTCTGCATATTTAATATACACTGGTCAAAAGCATGTTCCTGAAAGCAGGGAAGTGACTAAGGAAGAAACCTAATCTATTTGAAAGATGCCAACAATTACAGTTCCACAGTAATGAAAGAACATTCAGAGAGAGTATAAAAGATTTAAGAGAAGTGTTACACCAGTAACTGCTGTAGACATAAGATCCCCCCATCCCTGGTTAGTAGCACATATAATGTACCCTTCCCCAGTCCTGGGTTATAAAATAATTCCCCATAAAAATTCAAGGCTGAATTAAATGAGTACAAGAACTGAATGCACAAGTGTCTTATGAAGGATGCTCGCATTCCTCTAATATCTCCAGAGACTGCATGCTGTGAAAAGCATCTCACCTATCAGCTATCCCACAGCATCACGCTGCAAAACAGCGGTTCACATCAGCATGCCCACCAACGAGAACATGCCCTTTGTAGTTACCCGGAGAAACAATTTAATTTGAAGGCATCTTCCATTTCAGTATGCAATGCAAGGACTGCGACATTCATCAGGGACCTTTTTCATATTTTTGTCACTAATCTATGATGTTCTCATTGGCAATTCAGAATGATGTTCGGTTTCAGGTTGTGGCCATCAGGTAAGCAATGCAAGAGACCAAATGTCTAGGATTGGTGTTTTCAATTTCACAATACTTCATTCCTGTCATGATTTTGGGGATCTTGGGATAATGGATATGTTTGCGATGTTGGGCTGACAACCCCTTTTCCCACCTGCAGCGCTGAGCCCAGCAAGCGTGAGAGATCTGGAAGCCTGGACAAAGCACTGTGCAGGGTCTCTGCAATGGCCACAAACATTTCTTAGACTTCTCAGACCAGTTGCAACTACAGCAACTCACACTCGGGCCCATTGACAGGCATTAGGTAAATGGACCACCACAAGTGTGGCGCTTTCAGCAGGTTCTAGGCAACCATATCAGGACCTGCCTAGTCATGCTGTATTTTAGCTGCAAGGTAAGGTCTAGATCAGGCAGTCCAACTTTTCATATCTGGAGAGTTGCATGAGGACTTCAACACGGCACTCAGTTCCTTCAGAATGAATTTTATTTCCATATCATAAAGTGTTTGCAATATATTTATTTAATTTACTATACACAATTAGTATAGTTAATTAATGATTGAATGAGGGGGAAAGCTGATATGAGGTCTCAAAGTTGGAATCAGGGGCAGCTGCTTAATTTTTAGATTATTTTAGGATTTTAGGACTAACTGAATGAAAGAGAATGCTCTGTGGGCCAGTGATCTCTGGGAAGAGCTGTGGGGTGGCCTATCTCTTTCTTCCCTCTTTCTCCTACCCAGAAACCTTCCCATGTGACTCTCCTGGCCCTTCCCTCCTTGTACTTGAGCTGACAAACTCTCCAGAGCATGCCCCACCCACTCTTGAACACTCTTGCACTCATCAGCTGGAGCAGTGCGGTGATGGTTGGGCAAGCTCCAGCCAGGCTGCTGGCCTGACCCACTCTCTTCCTGATGGCCTGGTGGCCTTGGGAGAACTGGCTGAAATCATGCCTGCGCCATCACTGGGATCTGGACTGGGGGAAGTGGGTGGAGCAAGTGGCAAGAGGGCCACAGAACAAGATCTTAGGAGCTGCACTGCAGCCCATGGTCTGTGTGCTGGACCACCCCAGTCTAGGCTATCTAAGCCTTCCTGTAGGCATGGTGGTACACACTGGGGTGGGGAGGGGGGTGGGCTCATATCTTCCTATCCTAAATGAACCTCTTACAATTTTTGCTCTCAGAGGTTTTGCTTCCCAAGATGATCCCAGTCAAACAGGAATCAGATAGGCAGCATGCAAATCAGATTAAGCTATAGCATCAAGTTGCCTATCTAAAGTGACTTATGAAAGTAGTTAAGGGCATTGATTTCATTCATTATCTTGTTCAATAGAGAGGAATTCAAAAGGATAAACTTCTGGTTGCTTTCCAAAGTGGTGCAGTCTCAGGCAGACAGAGCCATGTGCATTTTCTGAATTGCTGGGTGGATTCTGAGTCACCCTGTGATATGGGCAGTTAAGATGGACTGTGAGAACTAGTGAGTTGGGTACCCCTGCCTTCTGGGGCATCACTGGAGTGGCTGAGGATTCAGCATTCAGGTTGTGCATCCTTGCTCTACACCATGCAGTAAAGCGTAAATGCCAATGGCTACCCATTATGGACCAGTCACTTCCTCTTTCATGAGTCAAACACTCCTTCCCCCACACCCCTCTTTTCTGTGGCCTTTCTGCTGCACCAGAGAGAAATCTTCAATCTCTGGCTGTCCTTCCTTTCTTCCCTCTGCTTCTCTGTTCTTCCTCTGTTTCTATCTTAGCCTTTTATATCTTAAAAAACCTATTATTTCCCTTTCTCAGCTCTTACCAATCAGGAGGGAAGTTTCTTGTACTTAAGCTTCTCCTTTGACCTTCTCAAACTTTTTCTCCTCAAGTAGACATCCTGACTTCTACAATTTAACTACATTTTTCACTCAAGTCTTATGTAAACTTTTGGCTTCCTGAAAGGACAACCTAACTTCGATAATCTAACTAAGCATGAACACACAGACACAAAAACTCATAAGATTTAACCATATAATCTATAAAAATACAAATTGGAAGATAATTCTATGCCTTCATACTCCCTCAACCCATAATGCGGAAACGTTGTGTTTGTCTCCCAGATTTGGGAACGATGCTTCCTGAACCAACAAGCCAACAAGAAAGCAGCATCCTGGCATTTGTCTTTGACCATTGCTACCAGAACCACAATTGCAAACCTGACCATGTTATCAACCTCTTTTTAAGATGCCTTCCATCACTACCACCTTAATTGACTGGATAACAAAGAGTCAAATACTTTAACCACAGACCTCCAGGGCCTTGACTACCAGGACACCATCTCTCAGCTGTCATACACAAGTGGGAGCAGAGTTTCAAATCAATGTTTACCTGACAGATTCTGCAGCTGTGATAGCAATTAGTGGGAGCGTCCTCAGTGGAAGACTAGTGGGCCTCGGCACCATCTCTGGATCACCTTTTCTGTCCCAATCTGCCTGCTCCAGCTGCCTGAACGCCAAAGGGGGAAGCTGGAGATTGCGACAGGAGAGTCTCCTGACACGATATTGGTCCATCCCCTGAAGAGCCCCTTCATCTTCCTTATGGGAGCACAGTGTTTCCTCTGACACCTGCAACAACAGGAACAAATATTGCTTTTATAATTCGCTGCAGTTTCTTTTGTGAACTGCATCCATTATTCTAGGCATACCATTATGTTTTATTTAAAAAGCACTGAAGAGACGAGGCAGTGAAGAAACAGATTCCATTCATGCCCTTTACCAACAGTTGCTAGAGCAAGAATATGTGCCAGCCCAGTAGGATAAAGGCAAGAGCTATAAGGATGCTATGCAAAGAGGACTTCCATGATGCCGCTTTGGTCCTGCCAGCTCTTGCAGTGAAGCACAGATGGTCCATAGTAAGGACAGGAGGCAGCAGTGCAGCATTACCCCCAAATACATCTTCTGCACGCAGGACCTGCAATGCAGATGTCCACAGGCCTGTATCACATTTGTTATTAGGGGAAAAAAGATAGTATGCCCCAACTTTCTCCCTTCTTCATCCAAAAACACAAATCAGATCATGGCCAAATTGCAACAAAATGAGGCAAGGGGTATTGGCAGGTCGTTGTCTTCAGACTGTTTAACCTTCTCAGCTTTGGAGTGGCTCATAGTTACCTCATTTTCCAGAAGGACCTACATCATCTTATCTCACATACCATTTACCCATGTCTCCATCATTTCTAGGCTATATTACTATAATATCTGTACTTGGGATTGGCCTGGAGGAACGTAGCTAATGATGGCCACAAATTACAGATACCACTGCACCCACACCACTTCTATTCCATTTATGTCTTCTCAGGAATTTGTTTCTTAGACAATGAAATTGTGAAGAATTGGGCAATACAATATTGTTACTCACCCTGCCTTAACTAGTCTGACATCAGGTTACGTGAGGACTCACCAATAAGATCCTACATTCATTTTTGGATCATTTTCAAGTACTTTGTTTTTATGCCCCCAGTTGCAACAGCTGGATTGCAAAGGATTGGGTTTGTTCGGTGGTGGCCCCAAAACTATAACGCTCCTTTCTTATTGTTTGTAGCTTATATCCTTGGTGCAGTCTTTTAAGAAAGCTCTAAAATATATTTGTTCAAACTGACTTCTCTGCATAAGTAGTTAGTAACTGTGTTCCATGCTCAGCAATCTGAACCTGAGGTGAATTCCCTCCATTCTGATAGTGCTGTTTGGCTTTATCTCTGTGTGATTCTATCCAATGCCTTTGTGTTTCTGCAGTCACTTTGCAAGGATCTTTCTCGAAAAATGGAGAGAAATATATTGCAGATATGAAAAGAGGGTTAAGTTTAAGATTCGGTAATGGTTGGAAAAATAGAACGAATTCCAGGTCTCTAGTTTTGTTTCAAATAAATCAATGAAAAAGGAAACTTTGGAAAAAGGAACATTTATTTTGCCAAATAAATCTCTCCTCCTTAGAATATTGACAAGCTCATTACTTTTAATATACAAGTAACTTCCCTCTCATTGGTAGAAGTCTGAAACAAAAAGGCCAAAATCTGAGGTGTCTCAATGACAAATTTGCTAAGTGGTGGATTGTAAAAACCCGGTAAGAAAACCAGATTGCTACCTAACCATTATATCGAAACTGTACTTGCAAAATAAAAACCTGCCCATCTGAGTTAAAAATGTCAAGCTATTAGAAAAAAAAAATTAAAATCTGACAAGCCAAATCAGCAAACATGACAAAGAGTTAGCCCACTCTTGAGGAAATGTGAACATTACAGGAATCATGGGCACACTGGGTAGGCAGCAAATAAATCAGAGATATTGATCTCTGTAAAATTGCTATGAAAACACCTATTCATGTCATTGAAAGAAAGGTTCAATTGTCCTTCAGTTGTATTTTTAGCATGCTACACAAAATGAAATGAAAAAGTGAACACAATTACATTACTTGTGCTCTGGATGCACACGGGAAAGAGGGAACAATTATGTTTCCAGTCAAAAATTGGGTGATGGGAAATGTATGTTGCACTTCAGCTGTCTAAATAGGAGTTATAATGTGCACTATGGGGAAAATCCCTTCTTTTTTACAATTAGCAGCTAACACGTCCTAAAAATATTCTAAGATTCAACAGCATGAACTAAGTATAATAAGCAATTCACAATCTTATCCTGACAACCCCAGAGATTTCTTTGGCCACAGCCATGACTCACCCGCATGCTGTTTATTTTAGCAGCAATCTGATGAATAAATGGGTCGTGAATGGCCGCCTGCTACTTAATGGTAAAGATAGGTGGCACATTATTCCCCACAGATAATGGAAGGATGGGCATTTGCCAGGTACAAGAACTCCAACTACTACATCATGGGCAGTGGAAACAAGAAATTAACACTTGGATTGAAACCTGTTATATCCATATGACACACAAGGGGCAGATAACCCCATCAGAAGATGAGGAATTACCCAGTGGGTTATTTCACCTAAGAAAACTGAAATGGTGTGATCCCATTGGGCTGGTGTTTTGGATTTTCTTCTACTAAAGCAGCAAAGTCTGCCCACATGTAAAGGAGCAAGCATATTGGGGGATTTGTGAAACAGCAAAATCTTTTTTAAAAAAAATCCATCCCAACGCTCATTCTAACTTGAGTCCATATCAAATTGCAAGCTTTGTTTTTCGTTTTTGTTTTGCATGAAAATTCAACTGTGTTTCTGCACCTATTTTCTCAAATATACACATCAGTGGTGCACATCTGGAACGTACGATCTTCTCCCTTAGATTAAAGCATATTTGGACACATTTTTCAAATATATGCATGCTGTTGAACACCATTGTTTTTGATCTGTGAATAGCATTTCAAGTCTGGGAATACACAGATTTCCACAGCAGATTGCATCCAAATCCTTTTTAAGTCTGGAGGGTGCAAACGGGGAAACCCCGATTTTAAAAATTGACTAAAATGAATTTCTTTGCCATGAACATATCTCTCCCACTTTTCCCTTTCCAGATCTAAACAGAAGGTTTTTCAAATGCAATCCTTTATTTGAGCTAGACAAGGTTTTCAGGACAGGATGCTTCATAAGAAAGTTGTTCTCATGTAACCTCATTCCTTCTGGTTTGTGGGAACAGCTCTTGTCCACATAAACAGTTGATTCCAAACTGAAGACCCCTCCTCCCTTCCTTTCCCAAAAGGCTCGGCTCTACCCTCAGGGAATTTCACACTGCTTATGGGGCAGATGGCAGGAATGCTGGACATTTCTTAATTGGTCTGCTCATTTAGCTTGATGCTGACTCACTAGGTTAATGAATTCACAGCCCTCCTCTCAGATTTTCATACATCCCTAAGCATGTTTATCAGACACTCCCAAGTGATCTATTTAGAAAACGGATGCTGCTCTGCCAGCCAAGCTTTTGGCCACTTGGAGAATAACTGAGTGATGGATTGCAGCTGTTCCCCTGCTACTGAGCACTGTTCTGACAAACTAATATTGGAGAACATAATCAGGGGGAGCAAAGAGATATAGCAGTGGAAAACCACACTGCACCCAATGTATGTCTAGCTGAATATCTGCATGTAATGTGTATAGGTATAACTATGAATTACTCATATTTGGGCTCTTACCCTAGAAAGGTAAGATTCCCGGCTGTGAGAAGGGAGTTCCAAGCAACTATAGCCAGATCAGGCTCAGCCTTGGGGCAAACCAAAGGGAAGTCAATACACAGGCAAAGCTTATGCACAGAGATAGCAATCTAGCGATTGCAGGAAGTAATAGTAAGGCACAGTTTTACCAGGCAATAAGGAGGCTTCCAATCAGAAAAGTGTCCACAGTCAAAACACATGCAAAAGACAGTCTAAGAAGAGGAGCCAAGCAGGAGCCTAGGGCACAGTAGTACAAAGTTCCAGTCATGGACCAAGGTCAGAGTGACAAGGCCCTGGAGCTGGCAAAAAGATGTTATTCCAACAGCCCGCAGATTTCAGCTGAAGGCTTTGATACGAGCGCTCAGGAGTCCACCCAGAGCTCAGTTCTCCGAATCACAAGTCTTCTGGCAAAAGTCCAACTCATGAGGAGGGCCTTGCTCTTGGGGAGTCTTTTGCAAGCAACCACTTTGTCTGGCCATAGACTTGGCTTATACCTCCAAGCATCAATGTTGTCAGGGTCTGAGTGCCAGATCAGCTTCATCCTCTGACAACATGGATGAGTCATGTTCCTCAGAGACCCTGTCCACAGGTTTCTCAGGGACCACCATTGCTGAAGGGCTTGGTGTGACTTCCTTACAAATATTAGAGAAACCTAGGACAGAACTAGCTTCAGGGAGCCCATGTGATCTTGAGGCTCTTCAGTCTCAACTGAAAAGTTGTTCTGGCTTGTGTGTGGCTCAGACAGGACAACATGGGCCCTGTGATGACTCTCACTTATATGTGTGGATTCCTTTCCCTTCCAGGTAGGTTAACTGTCATTGGATACATTACCTGAATAGGACAAATGTTGCAGAATTCTAGTTGTTAATCCCTCTTTCAAAGGGGTAGGACAGATACTGGGGACAGTTCCATGGGAACACAAGTAGGTAAGGATAAAGTGCATAGAAGCAGGGGCACAAGAGAAAAAGAGCATCTCAGCAAAGTAGAAGGGGGTGCTGCCCTTTCTGGAAGCAAAAATTCTACAATATTATGCTTTCTCATAGTGTCATTTAGCTTTCCCTAAACCAAACAATTCACAGCCAGTTAGTTTTGTTCATTTTTTGTGTTCTTGCCACTACCACTAATATCACCAATAAAACATTTCTCTAAACATATACATAATTTAAATAATTATGCATATTCTTTTAACTAAGCAATACATCTCAATGTGTATTATTAAATAGTCCTTAACTATCTGTGGAATCATGAGCCTTATTATTCCAACAGGATATAAAGAAACACAATTTCTTGATCTTGTTCTGCTGTCTCTTCATTTGACCAAACTTGTCAGCTTGCTCACAAAACCCATATCCCATAGGCTATTTAACCATTCTTCAAGGAGTAGTGGGTCAGGTTTCTTTTGGTTATTGGGAATTTATGGGCTTTTTCATTAAGAGCTAGGGTAACCTACTATAACCAAATAAAACAA